TATTTGGAAAGAACTTCATGCATTACTTTTTGCAACTTCAAGTGCGACTTGCATAGGCATCTGTGCATGAAGTAGCACAGATGTCTTCGAAGTTGCATCTGAAGTCGGACTGACATCTGACTTTGAAATCATTCGAATTCAAGTGAAGTTGCACGATTTCAAAGTCAGATTCAGTGTGACTGAAGACTTAGGGGTTGATTTACTAAAAACAAATAGACTGTGCCCTTTGGAAAGTGCAGTTGCACTCTGCAAGCGCAGTTGCGCCACAGCTTAGTAAATGAGGTAAAGCTCCACTTGCAAAGAATACCCAATCACGTAGAAGGAAATTAGAAAAACTGCCTTTTTGCTTGCACATGATTGGATGATGGAAGTCAGCAGAGTTTCTGCTTATTTACTAAGCTCTGGAGTCAATTGCACTTGCAGAGTGCAACTAAACTTTGCAAAGTGCACAGTCTATCTGCCTTTAGTAAATCAACCCCATAGTGTGCAGAGGAAGGGTTTGAGTAATTCTAGAACAAAAAAATTGTCTTTTTTTGTAGCCAATATTGAAAGAGTTTAGTAACTGCTACACTGCATTCATCCATCTGAACATATCATATACATTTTAATGGCTTTGTATTGTTGTTTTATGTTCATTTTAAAACTGAATGTGTTTTGAAATAATTAACTGATAGGAAATGATTGGGCTGGGAAGTCCATAACTTTAATTAGTATAAAATAGGGGCAATGGAAGATTTTAGTATTTATCGTTGCACCAGGGATATACTATAGAGAATTTGCATTCCCCACTTGAGTCAGCAGCTGCAAAGTGATTGTCAGCACAAGGCATTCTCTATAGCAATGGACTTGTTATGGAGACAATAAGGAGTCCCTTCTGAGCAATAACCTGTTCTCTGCTGCCATCTAATGGAGCAAATCTATTACTGCAGAAAAATCCTAGCTTTTTAAAATCCCTAATTTAGGTATTAGAGGATAAGTTTGCCTTTAGTAGCATGTTACATGTTTCACCCATATTTAGGGTATAACATGTTAATACGCAGTAGCCCCTTCACCCACCTGTGACAGCAGGTGATGGAAAGAGCTGGCAAGAGTGTCTGTAGGAGCCTTTGTGATCCTTTGATACGGGTGCAATGCTTTACAGGCTCCAAGGTAAAGAATTAAGTGAACATTTTTTTCTTTTACCTGCGAAATCATGTGCTCTTCCCTTTCTTTTTTTTTTTTTTTTTTTAACTAAAGGTGAACATAGCTGTCAAATAAATCTTTTAACATTAGTGGCATTATGTAACGTTTTATCATTTACAGCAGTGAGGATTACCTTGTGTGATTTTGAATGCCACCATCAGGCCCACCCCGCAAGCCAAAGTACTTGGTGTCATTCTTGACTCCAATCTATCCTTCCAGCCCCAAGCCCAATCGCTAACGAACTCATGCCAACTCCACCTCTGCAACATCACCAAAATACGCCCATTCCTAACCCCAGAAACCACTAAACAACTCATCCACTCCCTCATCATATCACGACTCGACTACTGCAACTCCCTCCTCGCCGGTCCCTCACTGCAAGCTATCCCCGCTTCAGTTGATCCTGAATACGGCAACCAGACTCATCCACCTTACCAACCGCCCCCTCTCTGCCAATCCCTCAACTGGCTCCCGATTGCCCAACGGATTCAATTCAAAATGCTAACACTGACATACAAAGATGTCCACAATATCGCCCCAGACTACATCTCTGACCTAATATCCAAATACCACCCAAAACGCACTCTCCGCTCCTCACAAGACCTCCTTCTCTCTAGCTCCCTGGTCTCCTCCTCCCATGCCCGCCTCCAGGACTTCTCCAGGGCATCACCCATCCTCAGGAACTCCCTACCCCAATCCATCAGACTATCACCCACTCTCCTCTCCTATAGGCGCACCCTGAAAACCCACCTCTTCAGGGAAGCCTACCTCGCCCCCTGCTAGCTGCCGATCTCCTCCTCTCTTCCCACCACTTCATCCCCCACAGCTTTTCCTCCCGTACCACTATCCCCTCCCCCCTAGATTGTAAGCTCCAAGAAGCAGGGCCCTCAAACCCCTCGTGTATCACACTGTATTGTCATTGTACAGTCTCATGTATTGTCCCCCTCTGTAATGTACAGCGCTGAGTGAACTATTGGCGCTATATAAATACTGTAGCCCTCAAATATGACCCCTGACATCTCCAAGGAGACCCACATAGTATTCGATAAATTTAATGATACAGAAAACTGTCAGAGACTGCAGACATGCAACTGGGGATGGTCAGAGACCAAAAGCATGCTCTAGGAGTTAGTCAGTGACTGCAAACGTGCTATAGGAGTTGTTAGGGACTGAGGACATACAGGAGACTGTCAGAAATATATTACATGTGACTGCTAGAGATCACTGCCATTACAGTACCTTTACAAATTAATGTTTTAACATGTGCGTTCCTTACAGCCCCCTTTGGCCTCTGAGAGCTACTCAAGTGCCAAAGAGGTGCATGTAGTCCCCTGGGCACAGGTTGGGCACCAGGAATTTACATTCGTTGTTATTTTTATTTGAAAACTAAATTCAGTGTGTCATGTAAGAAATATTGAGTATTATGTATTTTTTCCTTATCTCTTAACCCTTTCATCGTCAGGTCTGGTAGCCATTTAAAATTTTGCAATTTTTAACTTTTTATTTTTTTGCACTTACAGCTTTAAGAATTTAGAAAAAAAAAAACCTAAAAGCACAGAACCAGTAAAATAAACAGATGGTGCTACTGATTTTGCAGGTCCTGTGATATTCATGCAAAATTTAATCAAAATGATATTTCTTTTATAAAAATACAATCATTATCAGTGCACACAAGCACAACGTAACTTACAAAATTTCTATTAAATCTAAAAGACAAAACTGAATTGATTTAAAGCCTTATTCCAGGATACTATTTGTGAAACAGTGAAAATTGAAGGTTTGCAAGACTGTAAATAAACAACTTACACTAAAAATCTGGAGGTTTACACTAAAAATGTGTTGTGGTAACCCCTGATTAGCAATGCCGGGTGTGCACTGGACTGGTGCGTGTTGCAATAAAACAATGCTGGCATATATTTTTTGCAGTGTGTGGAGTTGCATTAATTTATATATATTATATTTTTTCACATGCTGGTGTCAAAAGGCCCTTAGTGTGTTGATATTTACCAGTACTGGGAGCTTTGGGGAAATATCAGGGGTCTAAGCAGAGTCCCCAATCTCTCTGTTTCTCCTTTGTAGCCTTGCAGTCATGGGAAGTGCTTCTTATTGATTCAAAAACTGAACTGATAGTAAACATTGTTCACTGTTGCTTCAGTTACACAGGCCTGATCAGTGCTCACTTGCTCTGTTAATTTATGTAAGTTAAGGGGATGGTAAACAAACATTAGATACATGTTTACTAATCTTGACACTCGCTGTCCTGAGAATCCGATGCTCCATTCCTCCCTCCTGCTATCCACTGCCTGCCTGTCACTTGATCCTCCCTGCAATTAGCTCAGCTCTGTGTTCCCTGCACAGCCTCGCTGTCCACGCCAGTACATGTGTGGGGGGCGAGCAGCCGGGATCAGGGGGCTCACAGGGTACACTGAGGAAAGCAGGTTGTAATCAGAGAGTGGGGATGGTCACTGAAAGGTGTAGCATAGTGCGGGGCGGCAGAATGGTGGTTGAAGTGGAGTCGGTGGCATTCACATTTAAATGAATAGCTATGACCATTAGCCCTGAAACGCTTATAGGAATGTGTCGGAATGGACTCCTCATCCTTCTAGTCCCGATGTCCTTTTATTCCAGTTTACCCCTCTCTGTCCTTTAAAAGGATTCAGCGTTGCTACCCTTCCTTTTTTCCTAGCTTAAGAATTTCTTTTCCCTGTTTTAATTTGATTTATATGCTGAGAGGGCTCTCACATCCATACATGCCTCCTTATGCGAATACTGGTGACATCATTTCTGTTCTAGAACTACCTCTCCCTTAAGTCAAAGGTCTAGGGGTTGTATGTAAGTCTGGATACAAATGTAGAAACAGAAAAAGGGTGCACCGACCTAGTGCATTATCGTTTAAAATAATTTATTAAAGAAACAAAAATAGGTATCATACTCGCAATGGACATAATAACACAGGCATGTCAAACTGAACAAGATGTATGTTGGCTCTGAGGAAGAGGTTGTGTCCTCGAAATGCGTTAGCCAGTTGGTCATCCAGGGTTCCATCGTATGGACTCAGATGTTGTTTGGATCATACATCTTGTTCAGTTTGACATGCCTGTGTTATTATGTCCATTGTGAGTATGATACCTATTTTTGTTTCTTTAATAAATTATTTTAAACGATAATGCACTAGGTCGGTGCGCCCTTTTTCTGTTTCTCCATTTGTATCCAGTGTATTCGGACCACCCCGGTCTGTTGAGGGCAGCAAGCAGTGCATATTCCAGAAAATTCCAGAACATTCCTATTGGGTCTACTGAGTCCTTTCCTAGCGCAGGAGTAAAGTGTTTGTTGTGTTGGAGTTGTATGTAAGCCTCCAGCTGTAGACTGGCTGGTCTTCTTGGACATAACTTGTTTATCCAAGTTTCCTTTCCCTGTAGTCAAGGGTTAGTTATGCTAGGCTTAGGACTTTCTACCCTAGTAAACATTGCTCGTGTTTGACCACCTCTGTCCATGCCCCCCACCACTCCCACCACCTTACTCTTCTGGTGCAGTGGGGGTTAATAAATCTGTGGGAGCTGTCAGAAAGTCTGTATTTCATTGGAAATTCAGGGGGTTTCAATAGTATTGTCAGGAGTATGATTGTAAGATCCCTTCACATGGGGCAGACTCCACAAAATGCAAGATGCCAGTTATTCAAGTTACAAGCGAATTATTCATTTTGTATTGCATTAGATCTTCACATATCCTTACGTGTACAGTTAATATGTATTCTTTCAATTATATTCAGTCATGTTTGCTTGAAAAATAATTGTTTTTTTTTTTCTTGTTGATCGCAGCGGTTATTCCATTAACAGACTCTGAACACCGGCTTCTCCCCTTGCACTTTGCTGTTGATCCTGGAAAGGACTGGGAATGGGGAAAGGATGATAATGACAACATTAAACTGGCCAGGTAATTGTGGCTCTAAATCTCAGCTTCATTCAGTGTCCATTTATTTAAACAAAGAACCTTTTACTAACCTTCTGGTGATGTTGATATTAATCAGTACCTCATACAGGGATAAAATGTGTTTAAAGCATGAAGCAGAATATTAGGAATTGCAGGAACTAGACAGACACTGCTTACAGAAAGAAATATGCACATATGGTTAATTACAGGATAACTGCAACCAACCACATACTTATTGAACTGGCAAATTAATTCAGCATTGGCCACAATCATTTCTGGCCCAGAGGGGATGAAGACAATTATGTGTTAAGATTGAAGGGCATTTGTACAATGTCTGCATGTGAATGCAGGAAACCAACCACAAACGTATAATCACCAGTGTTCTGTGTAGTTTACTGTTTACGGAATTAAGGCTGACCGTGCATGAGTTTGTTTTTTATGTTCAACCAGCTGGTTGAACGAAAGTTGATGACTCAATCCTCCCATCTACACACTTGAAGTGGATGGGAAATCACTCCCTCTGTTCCATTGTATTCTTACACCATTGAGACTTTCCCACCATCAGAATGCATTGATCAGCACTGCCAGCTATAGCCAGCGGTACCGATCGCGAGGAAGTTTTCCAACAAGCTGCTTTATGATCCAGATTTTTATGTAGTTTTTATATTACGTTGGTATTAGGATAACTATGTGTATTGATTTTTAGAGTACTGATAGAGAAAGTGGTGTAATATTTACATTTTGGTAGTTTGTTTTTTCTGTCATTTTTCAATTGGTGTTATTTATTCTATGTAGTGTTTAATAGCATGATATAGTTTCCTACAGTACTGTATTAATTTCGTTTTATTTGGTATTAATTTTTTGTTATTGGTAATTTTATTGTTGTTTTTGTGTTTTGTTTCTGGTCATTATTGTGATTTTGTGTTGTCTTTGTTGAATGTAACTATGTATTAATAATTTACCTTTGGGATTAATAAAGTATGCAGAATCTGAATCTTAAGGCACCAGTAGATCAAATTTAAAGTCTGGTTTATTTAATTATCCAATGTAACTTCACAAATAAAAGTTAATAAAGTTTAGATTTTTCAGGAGCCTGATGGAAGACAATATACTGTAATTTAAAAGAGAAGCCAACAGAGGGACACTACATAATGCAGTCCTTAGGGGCTAATAGGAAATCAGGAGCTTTCATTTGGGTAGTCAATATACATACATGTCCGATTTCAGATACATCCAGATATTGACTCTCTTTTTACATATACAGTGGGGCAAAAAAATATTTAGTCAGCCACCAATTGTGCAAGTTCTCCCACCTAAAAAGATGAGAGAGGCCTGTAATTGGCATCATAGGTAGACCTCAACTATGAGAGACAAAATGAGAAAAAAAAATCCTGACAATCACATTGGCTGATTTGGAAAGAATTTATTTGCAAATTATGGTGGAAAATAAGTATTTGGTCAATATCAAAAGTTCATCTCAATACTTTGTTATATATCCTTTGTTGGCAATGACAGAGGACAAACATTTCCTGTAAGTCTTCACAAGGTTGGCACACACTGTTGCTGGTATGTTGGCCCATTCCTCCATGCAGATCTCCTCTAGAACAGTGATGTTTTGTGGCTGTCGCTGGGCAACACAGACTTTCAACTCCCTCCAAAGGTTTTCTATGGGGTTGAGATCTGGAGACTGGCTAGGCCACTCCAGGACCTTGAAATTCTTCTTACGAAGCCACTCCTTCATTGCCCCGTGGTATGTTTGGGATCATTGTCATGTTGGAAGACCCAGCCACGTTTCATCTTCAATGCCTTTGGCTGAAGGAAGGAGGTTTGCACTCAAAATCTCACAATACATGGCCCCATTCATTCTGTCCTGTACATGGATCAGTCGTCCTGGTCCCTTTGCGGAGAAACAGCCCCAAAGCATGATGTTGCCACCCCCATGCTTCACAGTAGGTATGGTGTTCTTTGGATGCAACTCAGCATTCTCTCTCCTCCAAACACGATGAGTTGTGTTTCTATCAAAAAGTTCTATTTTGGTTTCATCTGACCATATGACATTCTCCCAATCCTCTTCTGGATCATCCAAATGCTCTCTAGCAAACTTCAGATGGGCCCGGACATGTACTGGCTTAAGCAGGGGGACACGTCTGGCACTGCAGGATCTGAGTCCCTGGCGGCGTAGTGTGTTACTGATGGTAGCCTTTGTTACATTGGTCCCAGCTCTCTGCAGGTCATTCACTAGGTCCCCCCTGTGTGGTCCTGGGATTTTTGCTCACCGTTCTTGTGATCATTTTGACCCCACGGGGTGAGATCTTGCGCGGAGCCCCAGATTGAGGGAGATTATCAGTGGTCTTGTATGTCTTCCATTTTCTAATTATTGCTCCCACAGTTGATTTGTTCACACCAAGCTGCTTGCCTATTGCAGATTCAGTCTTCCCAGCCTGGTGCAGGTCTACAATTTTGTTTCTGGTGTCCTTCGACAGCTCTTTAGTCTTCACCATAGTGGAGTTTGGAGTGTGACTGTTTGAACTTGTTATCAGTATAAAAGACACCTGTCCACAACCTCAAACAGGTGCCATTGATACAGGTAATGAGTGCAGGACAGAGGAGCCTCTTAAAGAAGAAGGTACAGGTCTGTGAGAGCCAGAAATCTTGCTTGTTTGTAGGTGACCAAATACTTATTTTCCACCATAATTTGCAAATAAATTCTTTCCAAATCAGCCAATGTGATTGTCAGGATTTTTTTTTCTCATTTTGTCTCTCATAGTTGAGGTCTACCTATGATGCCAATTACAGGCCTCTCTCATCTTTTTAAGTGGGAGAACTTGCACAATTGCTGGCTGACTAAATACTTTTTTGCCCCACTGTATATCTGTGTTTCTATATTGTAGTTTGCTTATGAATATCAGCAAATAGAGGCAGTTGACTGTAGCAATCTGTCAGATTTACATTTTCAATCTCTATTCTGCCCAGGGAACATGATATAAAGAATCTGATTGCTGGGGGTGACAGTTCCACTTTTCTCTGATCCAATCTTCATAAATCAAAAATGCTGTTATTACAACAACATAATTTTTTTTTACTATGTTAAATGTGTCTCTTTATTATTACAGTATGCTGTCATTTGTTTAATATTTCCTACTGTGCTTTTGTTATTCCGTCAACAGTTTGATTCTGTCCCTGGAGGCTAAACTGAACCTTCTGCACAGCTACATGAATGTAACCTGGATACGCATACCCTCTGAGACACGGGTAAACCTCCACTGATTTACCAACCCAGTACAATTTCCTTTGCTTCCCTTTCCACAAGTGTATTTTAAATATGTTGTTTATTATTTGAAAGCAAGTAATTCAGTTTTCCATACCCATACTCAGATATGAGTATTTTCAACATTCTTTTTTCTCAATATAGAAACAGTTGGCTGAGAGTCTGGCCTACGGTGACATCCTTCTACCTACGCCAGTTCTACATTAATGTAAAATTCAATTTTCCTAATTAGTCCTAGCAAACCCACAAAGGTTAGGTACCGTATTTGCCGGCGTATAGGACGACTTTTCAACCCGTGAAAATCTTTTGAAAAGTCGGGGGTCGTCTTATACGCCGGTATACGGCGAGCCGGTGTCAGGGCGGCACTTTTTCGAGGGGCGGCGCCGCCCCCCCTCCTCCTCCAACGGACACCAAGTACAGGGGTGGGCAGAGGGGCTGCTGTACCTTACCTGACTCCGGTCCCGGTCCCACGACGATCCGGTCCAGGAAGCGCGGCTGCTCCTTCTTTCAGTTCGGCCGCTCGATGGTCCCGCCGCCCGCTCGGCTCCGCCTCCTCACCGGTGATTGGGCGCCAGCACTGGAAAGGCACACAGGCGACCAATCACCGGCGAGGAGGCGGAGCCGAACGGCCCCGCGAAAATCAAGCGGGCCCGAACTGAAAGAAGGAGCAGCCGCTCCTCTCCCCCACTGACACTAACGATGGGGCACTATTCCTCCTCCACACTGACACCAACGATGAGGTACTGTTCCTCCCCCACTGACACCAACGATGGGGCACTATTCCTCCTCCCCACTGACACCAACGATGGGGCACTATTCCTCCTCCCCACTGACACCAACGATGGGGCACTATTCCTCCTCCCCACTGACACCAATGATGGGGCACTTTTCTCCCCACTGATACCAATGATGGGGCACTATTCCTCCCCCACTGACACCAATGATGGGGCACTATTCCTCCCCCACTGACACCAACGATGGGGCACTATTCCTCCACCCCACTGACACCAACGATGGGGCACTATTCCTCCTCCCCACTGACACCAATGATGGGGCGCGTTGGAAGAGGGGGTAGTCTTATACGGCGAGTATAGCTCAAACCCTATATTTTAACAGGAAAAGTAGGGGGTCGTCTTATACGCCCAGTCGTCTTATACGCCGGCAAATACGGTAGATATCAAGTAACACTGATGTAGAGCAGATCTGTGTTGGATTGATCTCCTAAATTTAGACCTGACTCTTACCTGTAAACCTTTCTTTGGAAATAGCTAGTGTCTAAACTAGCAATATCTGGAAATGTTCTGTATATTGTGGGGGTCACTCAAATGTAGTGCTTTTCATGAACTTCAGTCCAGCCTGTGAAGTAAATTTCAAGGCCTTTTGCCCACTTTTGTAAAAAAAGTACAGTTCAAAAACTCTCAAAGTAGGTTACCCATGTAGGGAATTTCAGCATCACAACGACAGATTGACATTTCCTAGCCTCATGACTATCTGGACAGCGTAGCCCCTGAGTCTTTCTCTAGCTTGGGGCTGCACAGGTTCCTGTATATTTACAGTGTCAGTCCAGGTGATAGCTTGGTCAGATAAGAAAGCCTCATCATGAGGCCAGACTGGACACTCTGACAGTGTCTGTTTACACATGTTGCTCCTGCAGCAGCTTGTTTACCAAGGAAAGTTCCCAGAACTATAGACAGCCCCTATACTAAAAAGGCTGTGTATGCCTGCACAATCAGGATGCTGGTTTCCAATAAAATGTGGACACAGGGTTAGAGGCTGAATCCAACCCAATCCTCTGGCCTGTAGAACCCAATCCAGTAGCTAACAGTCCTGAAGGAAAGTGCAAACCCATTTTCTCCACTCAGAACAGACACATCCTGGAGTCCCTCAACTTGCATAAATGAGAACCTTGGGTGACATTCAATCCTTCTGACACTTTGGAAAGACACAGCAGTGTCAGAATTTATATCAGTAAACACAAAATGCATAGTGAAGAATCCCAATCCAAATGCCAATCCCAAAACTATAAAATAATTACCTCACAGATAATACCTTAAACAGACAGATTATAATTTTATCTTTATAATGATCTGGTTACATTATTTATTATTCTGTCCAAGAACAGGACATTCTCATTGGCACAATCTGTAAATCATCTTGTTACTGGTACCCCCACTTGGCATTGCAGTAAATATTAGATTTGTCCAGTTTGGCAGTCTATGTCTTTCTTCAAATTACAAATAAAATACTGTAAGTGTTTATTGCTGCCAAGAAAGCAGGGTTAGCCAGTGTTTGGCAAAGCTAATATCTTTATTGTTTTTGCTTTTATTTTAGGCTCCTCTGGCCCAACCAGAATCTCCCACAGCGTCTGCAGGAGAAGACGTGCAGTCATTGGCTGACTCTGTTGAATCGGATCGTGAGTCGGTCTGTAGTAATTCCAACGTTAACAATGGAAAAAATGGGAAAGAAAAGGAAAAACAAAGGAAAGAAAAGGAAAAAAATAGAACTGATTCTGTGGCAAACAAACTGGGAAGCCTCAGTAAAACATTAGGTATAAAGCTTAAAAAGAACATGGGAGGTCTTGGCGGCCTAGTGCATGGAAAGATTAACAGAGCTAATTCAAGCAATGGAAAAAATGGAGATTCCACTGAAAAGACGAAGAAGTCAAAATCTCGAAAAAGGGAGCAAAGAAGAATCTGGTCAGTCTGCTAGCACATCGCCTTCAGAAAAAAAACGACCCCATCACCCACAGATAAAGCTAGCATCTCTCCCATTGAAAAACTCACAAACAAATCACTATTAGATAATAAGTCAGACCCTTGGAAGTACAGCACAGATGTTAAACTCAGCCTTAATATATTGAGAGCTGCCATGCAAGGGGAGCGCAAGTTTATTTTTGCAGGTCTCCTCCTAACCAGTCATCGGCATCAATTTCATGAGGAGATGATTGGTTTTTATTTGACCAGTGCCCAGGAAAGGTTTAACGCTGAGCAGGAGCAGAAGAGGAAGGAAGCTGAAAAGAAAGCTGTCCTCAATGGGTCATCTTGTAGGAAACTAGACCAGGAGGGATTTGTCAAAGAAAAGCTGGACACATCTCCTCAGGACAGGGCTTCTCCAGTCTTGCCTCAAAACCATACCACGCCACTAGTTCTAAAATTAAAGGATCGATCTAGCCCTACACACCTGCATCTTATCCCTCACCCAGCAATGGTGCTAAGAAAAGTGGTCCTGTACCAGTATCTGCTCATTATAGCCATACACCACCAGTCCAAAGGCAGAGTGTTATCCATCTACATGATGTCAGCTCCAAGTCATCCAGCTTCCAAGATGATCCTTACAAGCCATTGGTTGGCTCATTAAAAACATGTGCAACATATCCCCAACAGAACCGTTCTTTGTCTTCGCAGAGCTACAGCCCAGCTCGGTTATCGGGCATCCGCACAGTGAACACAGTGGAATCCCTTTCATATGAAAAACCAACAGAACATAAATCCCAAACATACACAAATGGTTTTAACTCTACTGACATTAGAGACTGCTTGGAGTATGCTGATGAGGAGTCTCCTCAAACATGGTTGAACAATGATAAAAACAGCAGAGGCAGGAATACAGGATGCCCTATATACTCACTCCACCAGAGCAGGTGTAAGAAAGAGAACTGCTCTTTCTATGGACGCCCCGAGACTGACAATTTCTGTTCTTACTGCTACAAAGAAGAGCTGAAACGACGTGATCGGGAAAATAAAGTGCACAGGCACTGAATTCATTTGAAGGGTTCTGACCTCTTAGAAATATAATTTTTTACATGCAAAAATTAAATACTAAAATCACTTTAATTGCAATGGAACAAAATAGCCAAAATCAGAGAGCGCAAGGGAGAAATTATAGTGCTGCTTGTTGTAATACAGGTCAAGCTTTTATCTGACAGCTTAGTTTGAGGAGGGAGGAAAAAACTTTATTATATTTTTTTTCTCTAATTACATTTCATATATTTGAGCTGGAAGGTCGATCATGTCACAGTCAGTGCTATGTATGACTTAACTACTAAGGTGCCTGATTTTCCTTTTTATTTTTTTCTTTGCTATCACTCAGGTAAGTAGGAAGGATCATTAAAGAGGTCCTATTGTCAAAACACTGTTTATGCAGCCATTTTGTTTGCTTACCAGTATTCACCCTATAAGGTTGCTTGAAAATAAAAACAGGACAAGCACACATGGACAGATCACATAAATGAACTATAAGGCTTGAGCATCCTCGACTGAATGCCCAATACTGCTGTCCATGTTGCTCCATAATCTGTACTCAAAGCAATCAGAAGTACTTTTAATGCAAAAAAAACAGAACCCCCCCCCCCCCCACTCTCTTTTTTCCCCAGCCTCTGTGGAAAAAGCCTTTTTACCCCAGAGGAAAGAACCATGTACACTGCTTGGGGCACAGTATTTATTAACTCCCATTAGAATGAGTGAATACATATGAAGATGGGGTCTGGTCATATGGAAATAATGTGCCCATGTGATGACAGGGAGAGGACTGACTGACCATTACACTCTATGGTCACACCATATAGGCATGTATTGAAATCTGAAAGGAAAAATGAAGCTAGTAAACATTGCATCAGACCTACACAGGCCTGGCAGTGATCAGGACAAGTTCTTTCTTAAGAAGGTAATATCTATTGGCAGGGGTGGGGTGCGGGGGGTAGGATTCATTTTGTTTGTGTAAAACATACTTATCCTTTAAATTTGACAAGAGTACAGTGAAAAAAATAATTGAAAAATTAAAGTTGAAAAATTTGTCCCAGTAATATGAAATATTTTTTTGAATAACCTTGCACTTGGTCTCAGTCACAGCTTAACTCAGACATAACCCATTTATTACTAGCAATGAGAAAATTATTTTCATTGCTAGTGAAAATTGGGTAATGTATAGCCAGCCTTATAAATAAGGACCAGAGTATTTTACTAGTATGTGGTCAACTTTATAGCTGGCATCCACATGAATATTGTTTTTTAGCTACTAAATGGCTGCTTTACTGTGTGTCGATGATGGGTCCGGTTTAGGTTTTGTACAGCTGAAGTACCTTTAATGCACTTTGGCTATCATATTTGTCTTGATGTATTAGAATAATAATATATACGTTTGTACTAACTTTTTTAGGCTCTGTTGCTTCATGTGTATTTTCCATCAACATTTTGTAATTAATGTGTATGTGATGCATCTCAGCAACAGATTGAAGAACATAGTGTAATGTCTAAATTGCAGGATGACTTTGAAGTCTAAAGCCATTGTAGACAAGAAATGACTATTTTACCACCAGGATCTGTTTGGAAAGATTGTGGTGTGTTTCATAAATAATGGAGGGGAGCTATGTGTTGCGTCCTGTACTGTGGTGATACATTTATACAAACATTGTCTTACAATTTTTAGTAACGCTTTTATGTCTGCGGGCGTCGCTGTAACTCTTTCAGATTTGATTTTACATTTTGTATGGAGCTGTCTATTCATTACGAATAATAACTGAAATCATTTTCACATGCTCTATGGAATCAGATGGTATTTTGCTAGAGGTCCTTTTTGTTTGGCATTGCATTGGCTGGTTACATTGGCATTTTGTATCACTACATTTTTTTTATAACTCCTGCTATTACATTTTTTTAAACAGAATACCTCTTCTGTGTGTTTTTTTTTATTTAGCCTGACTATAGTGGGGATCAGCTTTTCCTGAACTGATAGGTGAGCTCCGCCAGCTAATATCCATATGTCAAGTCAGAATGTCTTTACCGGCCACTGAGGCAGTCTCCTTTAACAATGAAATGGTACTTTGCAGGGAATAGCCATTAGGTAAGAAAAACAATCCCCAGTAACAAAGGGAAAGTTATTCAGAGAGATACGCAGAGGATGGTTTCGTGGCTCAAAGTAATAGCAAACATCTTGGCATGAAGCCTTCTTTTCAATGTGTGAAACAGAGTACAGATTTTAAGCAAGGCTGTTGAATTTGGATTTTTGAAAGTTTGCAAAATTCAGTAGGTAGGCACAGATCTATTTGGGGTCTGCAAAACAAAACTATACTCTAAAAAAAAAAAAAGCTTACAGGAAGAAAGTGGTGGTCCTATGAAGTTGTTTAGAAGAACTTGCTAGCAAAGGATTCAATGATTGTGCAAGAGCAGCACAGTTTTGACTTTAACCATATGGTTTATTAAACCATATGCATTGTAAAAAGCCATCGTAACTTTCAATTTGGACACATAATGTAGCATCAGAATATACACTTTTGTTAACTTATGTTAACAGGAGTTACAGTCAATAATTTAAAATTAGCGGAGGCACACGTAGCCATTGTAGTGTCATTTATTGTTTACATCAAATTTATTGGGAGTTTTACTTGAAACCTACTGTAAAACACAGTCTAGCTCCACTTAAAGTATATTGTCTGTATATTGTAGCATTAGATTAAACGAACATAAGATCCTAACATATGTCTTTATACAATGTTTGATAATGTATGCCTTTTGCTAACCCTGTTTCTGCTTCCTTGTGGCCATAGTGGTTTTTGCAAAGATATCTTAAAAAAAAAACACTGATAACCAGAATACAGATTTAATCCCCTTAATATAGTAAGAATTTCACGTGACCATATTCTTGATATAACAAACAATAATGTTAAGTCACTTGTGCAGGAATGTCCTCTGTATATTAACAAAATGTGTTACAAGTCAGTAATGAAGATGCTTTATTTGGGCAGTTAGGTCTATAGACATAAAGGCAATGATATACAGATACTTAAGGTGGTTCTAAAGCCTCAAGGTTTTTTACCTTCATGCATTCTATTCATGAAGGTAAAAAATCTTCTCTGTGCAGCAGCCCCCCCAATACTCACCTAAGCCCCCTCTCGATCCAGCGATGTGCACTGGAGTCTTGGCTATCCCGGGACTCCCTCTCCTCATTGGCTGAGACAGAATCGGGAGCCACTGTCTCCTGCTGCTGTCAATCATAGCCAGTGAGCCAATGAAAAGAGAGAGGGGTGTGGGACCAAGCCACGACTCCATCTGTGAATGGACACACGAAGCAGCGGGTGCCCCCATAGCAACCTGTTTGCTGTGGGGGCACCCGACAGGAGGAAGGGGCCAGGAGTGCCGGCAGGGGACAGAGAAGAGGAGGATACGGCCTGCTCTGTGCAAAACTGCTGCACACAGCAGTTTAGACATGTTTTTTTATTTAAAAAAGATAAATAAGAATTTAGAATCACTTTAAAACACTAATTGTTCAGCTGGCCCTTTAATGATACCATACTTAAAGTGAACGTGTACTCAGGCAATGCATAATAAAGTAAATAATATATTCTGAACAAGCAGTAAATGCACTTTAAGGCTCTCATTCTAATCTGTAGAGGCATTGTGGAGAAATTAATCTTTAAAGTGTACAATAGAGACACTAAAATCAGCTCCTTTCCCCTTGCTTCCTACTGAGAATAGAATCTTGACAGCCTGCTCCCCTTCTGTTGTAAACACACAGCAGATGTTTTCTAGGCTGCTGAAACACAGATTTAGTCATTGACCTTTGATGACCCTTGAGAATGAATACCACCTGCAGCTAGGGGGGTCAGGTATGACTTGTTTTAAAGAACTTTTACTGCATGTTAGGAATATGTAAATACTTTACATCTATAGTCTGGACATAGGTTCACTTTAAAGGGCAAATGCACCCAAAACATGTCCACATCACAAAAATAAATTGAATGAAAAAGGAACCCTTGAAATATTTTTCTTGTCTCATGGAACCTCTGCTACTAATTACTATATCTACAGTTCACAGTACATCAATGTGATGGTCAAAAGGAAGAATGCCTCTTACATTTAGGGTCAGTAGTAAAAATCCCCCATTACGGATAGCTTAAAATATCGGTGTCAGTAGTTACTCATCTGAAAGATAGAGGTTGCTCATTGATCAAGGAACCCCTCTCAACCCCTGGGAAGAACCCCAGCGTTCTATTGAACCCTGGTTGAGAAATGCTGCTGTATACATCCATAGCGTTCAAAACCCCCCAAAGCCATGCCACCAGTCCCTCATAAATAAGGGAACTCATACTAATACTAAGTTGAACACACGCAAATCAGTTCAAAAGAATATTGAACCTCATGTGCACAACACTGCATGGGTGCAGAAATGGGAGATGTCATACAATGCTAAAACCCAAAAGATCAAAAATAGGAAGGAAAGAAAGTTAGAATGCTTATAGAAGTAAGCTGGACCTCCGGGTGTAGAAGACATGGCACATACCCTCCCTCTTAAATTGTAAGCTCTAACGAGCAGGGCCCTCTGTTTCTTCTTGTACCAAATTGTATTGTAACTGTAATGTCTAC